TCCAGCTGACGATACCGACATAACAATGCCACGTAATATAATATAACACAGCGTTACGTAAGAAAATCCAACACTTTGCGCTACACTCGTTTTTTGAGACAATGACGTAGGATACGTTCAGGTGTATCTCATTAGCTCATGACAATGTACATGACATAATAGAGTACGCGTGTCTCCGTCCACTTGGATAATACTGGTTAATTAGTACCTGCCCCACTCCATTCCTCCTTCGCCCTCCCTATTACGTTAGCTAGTCAATGACTTGGCTGCAGTAAGAGTTTCGTTTAAATTGTAACAAGATGCAGACACACTCGACATATAAAACATATCGGAGTTAGAAATTTGTCCGGGTTGACCTGCGAAGCAGCACGCAGGGATTGTCGATCTGTACGGCGATGTATGAGTGTGCACTGTGCCTGGCACGAGGCACACTCTGCCACGCTCTGGCACATTGTGCCACCAGTCACCAGCCACCAGCCACCAGCCACCAGCCACCAGCCACCAGCCGTCAGGAGGTGGAGATTCGTAGCGCGCGATGCTAGGTCATGTTCTTGTCTCGGAACACACTATCCTTAGAAATGCACAGCACGATGATGAATTCAGAGAAAGATGTGTGTTCGACGATTACAGATTATTCCAATTTTATTTCCCTTTAATGCCTCCAATTTTATGTCTTTCCTTAATTATTTCTTTCTTTTTCTCTTTTTTACCCTATAAAGGTGCCTCGTTGCACCTTCATAGTGTTAAGCAGTTGAGAGTTAAGCGGTACAATGTGTATCGCGTCCCAAAGTGATATAACACTATTTCCTAATCCACCAAGATCACATTCTTACAATTAGAAGAAGCGTTGCTTGTAGCGGCTGCGCTGCAGTAAAGGCAGTAAAGGCAGTAATGGCAGTAAATGGCCCCGCAGTCGATACGCATACGTCGATCACGTATCTCGACGTTCAATTGTCTTATTTCTGTTTCAGATTGAGGATGCCATGCTCATGTTTGACAAGCAAACAAATAGACATCGAGGTAAGAGATCTAGTTTTCTTGGTATTCTGTACCATCGGTGTAATTGTTATTTTTTAAGGGGCGAGAGAAGGGGTGGGGGAGGGGGGAGGACTTTAGTCACCACGTGTCATTATATTTATCCCGCGAGCCTAAGGGGTCTAACTACTTCAACGAGAAATACATACAATATTTATATTTTTATCTTTACGCCACTGTTCCATGCAGGGTGGGTGAATCGGAGGAATGTGCAAAGTACAATACAATAATAAGATCGATCGAGCTAATATTGCAACTAAAGCAAGATGATAGTACATTTTGCGTCCATGACAAAACAGACCGTAGTTGTCTCTCTAGGCCTCCGCACCCCGTCGGCCGACTCTGTCACGCACATTTTCGGACTGTTCTTGGTTCGATCATGTGAAAAAATTATGTCGCAGGTAAACCCTCGTAAATATAACCTTCGAGTATAGCCTTGCCGAGTCTCTTGATCGCTTATTTTTACTTCCGAATTTCTCAGGTTTGCCTGACCGCCCCCCCCCCTCCCAATTCTCGCTCTATTCCTGGAGCGTTATAGTTTCACTTGTTTAACAAGCAGCGTGCAAAAAGAATATATGTATATCCCTTAATCTAAGGACTGCCGCCAGTAATAATGCAAACACGCGGCAGCTCCTTAAATTAAATTCGTTTAATAATTTACGAACGGTCGGTTGGGGTTCCCTGAGGCTACCTGTCAGGGAGTAGCTACTTGCTAAGGGAATAATAGAGAATGAGCGATTTGGCGAGCGAGGGGAAAAATCGAAGAGGAGGAAGGGAGGATGGAGCTCGTTAAGTTTGAGTTAGGGAACAGTAAATAGTCATTAATGGATGAAACACTGTGTCGTTGGTGGTGGTGTTGGGAAGAGTGATTGTTGCCAGCAGTGGCCACATAGATGGATGTTTGCATTTATGCATGTTCTAAGAATTTTTAAGCCGACAGAATAGACGGAGAGAGAATTCATTCTTTTTAATCTCGGATCGCTGATGCCTATAAGAACCATAGGCAAAAATTATATGAGAATATTGTGATTAAGAAATTGCTATAGCAGCTTTAAGAAAGTAGCCCAAGACATTGAGTGTAAAAGTTTAAACATAAGGAGCATATGGTAAGGAGAGTGATAGAGTGTGTGTGTGAGAGAGAGAGAGTGAGAGAGAGAGAGGGAGGGAGGGGGGGGTAGGCGAGGGAGTCGAGAGGGCGGCATTACGTTGCTTCCCTCGTATGCGCTCAGTGGATGTCGCAAAAATGAAAGTAGGACATGGAAAACGGGGGACTGCGTGCTGGAACAGCGGTGTGATTCAAATTATCTTCGTAACTCCCAGAAACATAGTTTAATATAATTTAATGTAATATTTCATTGGTTTTTCGTCCAATTATATATTTTCTTTCTAAATCTGTCTTTCTGTTACAGGCTTCGGCTTTGTAACATTTCAAAGTGAGGACGTGGTCGACAAAGTGTGCGAAATTCACTTCCACGAGATCAACAACAAAATGGTGAGTGAAGAGGAAGTTGTGTGAAGAGACTGTGTGACTTAATGGCTGTTGTAATGGCTCTAATGGATTTACTGGGACGAAAAAAGACGCAGTAACGCTCGAGTTGAAGATCGAGGGTTCTGGGTTGTGGACCGTGGGGGGCTAAGGGTTGTCGTCGATTGTTATGAGTTGTGTGGCTCGTGCAGCCCGAGCATCGTCGAGTTAACCAGGCAGAAGCAAACGGTAAAATGGCGATGGTGATGGTTGCAGGTCGAGTGCAAGAAAGCGCAACCGAAGGAAGTGATGCTGCCGACCAATCTGGCGAAGACGCGAGCGGCCGGGCGAGGCGCATACGGTGAGTTGGTGATGGTCGCGGCGACACCCCCGGGGGCAAGCTATCGGTACGCGCCGTACCCCATTCCTTCGGCGGGTGCTGCGGCTGCGCAGGCGGCGGCAACCGCTGCCACTTCCCATCATCATCATCATCATCACGCCCATGCTCATGCTCATCACGGTCATCATCCTCATCATTCATTGTTGGCGCCGAGCCTCGTAGGTGGGACGACGCACGGCGCCGCCGCCGCCGCAGCCGCCGCGGCTGCCGCCGCTGCGAATTATCAGTACGCCGCGGCACCCGCGGCTGCGGCTGCTGCCGCTGCGGCCGTTTACGATGTCAAAAGAGCACTCGCTGCTGCAGCAGCGTACAATCAGAGACCCCCACACTATCCCACCGCGGCCGCGGCAGCAGCCGCTTCCGCATCCGCTTCCAGGGCCGCCACCCTCACTTACTCTATGAGCGACCTCCTTGGCGTTCAAGGACTCGACATGGGGGCAGCCGCCGCCGCCGCCGCCGCTGTCTATCACCCGATACCCACCATTGGACTATGACCGAGCACCATTTTGACTCCCCTCACACGACCTCAATAGATTCAATCTCGTAGACTCTTTCGCTCGAAGTCCAATCGCTTGGTCCATAAAAACTTGATTACTACGACCCTCACGATCACCGCATCCTCGAACCTCTCTTTTTTCTTTTTTTCGATCCCGTCTATCGCGTACCCTCCGCTCTCGCTCACAGAGACTCCGATCTCCTTGCGACCCGGGCTTCACCTTTCTCTATCGGAATTCCTTGAGCTTCATAGCTGCGGGGGATGTGATTATCGTTGTGGGAGCATTTGCCACTTGAGGCGTTCCCTCGAGGAACACTGGGATCCTACTTGTCGTAGCCTAGAGAGATCGAGAAAGACTCGAAGGAGGTACATAGTAGCGAGTAGCTATACCGACGGGACCTCATTTTCAGCTAGACAGAAACTTAAAAGATTAATCATGAAGAATTTTAAGAAAAAGAAAAAAAAGACTGGTAGACCGATAGTTAGCCAGAATCGCAGTGCTAGAGACAATAGGGTAATCGGGAAATGTGTTACAAGTATGAGCGACACGTTCAAATGTCAAGAGACCACTGAATTACTAAAAATGTTTCTTTCCATAATTTGAATAATCTACAGATTCATGCCTACTCTCAGGTATATTCACCAAAAATACGTTTTCTTTTCGTCTTACGTTTTCATTTTAATCTTATGTTCGTGCCTCTTTGACTTTGCTCGTGCTTCTTCTTCTTCCTCTTCTTCTTCTTTACACGAGAGGATCGGTTACTCTTGTTTTTGGCATTATCATTGCCGCTATCGTGATTCTGATCACTGATCAGCATCCGGCAGACGTTTTTGTCTTCATGAACCTAGTAGCACACCCGCGATTATTCATTGATTACAAAGTGATGTAATTACACCGAAGAACGGTACGAATTACAATCAAAACCTCTTCAGTTCACATTCTGTGTACGTAATGCAAGAAAAGAAGGAGAAATGGAAAGTGATGCGAAGAATGAAAAAAGTTGAAATTTATTTGTCAATTAGCCATGACACTAATGACTGAAAATAGGCCCTTTCTCCTAGATTTCTCGATAAAGTTAACTGAACGAATACGTTCAATGGGTTTCGCAAAAGAGGTGGAATAGGACAACAAAGAAAATTTAAATATTTCAAGGGACAACGGTATCGGTCAGTAGTAGAAAAAGTTGGCAGTATACATATAAAGAATGAGAGGGCAGTCAGCATCTAATTGTAAGGGCTACATCGTACGTCGTGGTGGCGCTCGCGTTTTCTTCTTATTACATATTTCAAATTGTGAATGCATATCTTACCCCCAAAACTTTCCCATTCACTTGACTCGCAAAACAAAACGCGATGGACAAAGGAGACGAAAATGTACCTGGTGGTTGTTAACATATGTGTGTAAGCCTGAGAGTGTCTCTATAAATATGTAGTTTCGAAAAAAAAAAAAAAAAAAAAAAAAAAAAAAAAAAAAAAAAAAAAAAAAAAAAAAAAAAAAAAAAAAAAAGAGCGAATGCATTCGAAGGAACGGCGTCCCGTGCCGTGCCGTGCCGTGCCGTGCTTTCCTGTGCTTTCCTGTGCCGTTCACTTCCTGTACGTGACGACGCGTGTAAACTATGGTTGGACCAAGAGAATAGTGCCACTTTCAACAATGATTTTCCAATGGTTCGCGGAGCAGAAGAGTTCCTTAAACGTGGGCACTGATGTCGTTGCGGTTCGATCATCAGAGACAGGCAACCAACGATCGAAAACGAAAGATGAGCGATTAACGTTTCGTCGTTCTTAAATTAATACACTGCAAATCCAAATTCCCTATCCTTTCGATGGTAGTCACTTTTAGACACTAACAGGAGTGTCGTTATTTCCAAAAAATTTCAACGTAAAAATAACATACTTGTAAGTCTGTCAAAAGTGACTACCATAGAAATGATAGGGAAAATAAACACACTTGGATTTGCTGTGCAGTGTCCAATGAGACCGGTATTTCGAAAACTTTCAATTAGAAACGCGTTGTTGTTTTTCCATTGGGACCGTCTATCTGGTACGCAACCTGCCCGTCTCTTTACGCTCTCACGTCACGAAGTCTTCTCAGCCTTACGGCTGTTACTCTTGCAATAAAAATTCATACAAAAAAGGACAGCAACGATTTACTCGATGCTTCCGTTTATGGTATCATCCAAAATTTCATGAAATTTCATAATAAAGAGGTGTATTCTCAATACATGTAGTTCCTCCGTGGGACACAGCGTTACGTTAGTCGTTAATTTACAAAAAAAAAAATCAAGGTATTTGTATGTATGAATTTAGTAAAACAGTAAAAAAAACAGAAACACACCCTTAACGCGCGTGCGTGCGTGCGCGTGCGCGTGCGTCACGTCTGGAACACAAATCCCTGTACACTTGTACACTTATACATCTATAAACACATTCCCGTATTTATTACTAATAAAGTAGGTAAGGAATTGTTTTTAGTAAAGAAAAGAATTGTTTTGTACTCAGCGCTACTCTTATAGTATGTTTGATATCAACGGTATGAATACCTATGTCCTATGTCTTATGACGAAATCGCATAATTATTATACATATACTATATACGTATTAGTTGTATGATAGACCTATACATATCGAGGCAGTACACATATACGCTAGGCATAGGTATAGGTACATATAATTGTCTCATTTAGATATTTATTATAATCTAGGTTACTTAGGCTCGTTAGTTAGAGGGGAAAACTTGATTGAACTCTGCGTTCTCCTCTGTCGAATAGTCTATTATCTAGGTACTAGCGTTGCAAATAACACATCGATATCGCTAGCATAGATCTCTTGTCTTACTAGGCAATATAGTAAAATCTACGGTATTCGCGGGGGTTTCTTTCCGAGAAAGTGCCATCAATACAGGCAATCACGTATAACGGGAAATAGTTATTACAATATAACGAAATTATTAATTAATACTATAATTACGTAAGCAGCCGCTCAAACTGCTCATTCTTAACATTAACAGAAACAGAAATATTAAGAAAAATAATAAACTATAGTCATGTCCGATGCGCGGAATTTCTATTTACGTGTAACAGGATGTTACATGTATTGTATTCTTTTTTATTCTTGAAGCATTATGCTAGATGATTTTTCAACGTTTGAATATGAAAATTTATCAATTCGCGATTAATGAAACCCTCAATAAGAAGATTTTACTGTACTTCCTGATCATTCCATATTCGAGTTTGCTTCTCTCTCTCTCTCTCTCTCTCTCTCTCTCTCTCTCTCTCTCTCTCTCTCTCTCTCTCTACTTCTATTCATCTATCTATCTATCTATCTATCTATCTATCTATCCTTTTATCAATTCGTTCATTCAATCACGCATCCAACTGTTTCCTGTATTGTTTGATCGCGTGATTTACTTCGAGGAAGAGAACGAAATATATTTGGTAGTTTGTTTGTGATTCTTCATTGTTCGTCAGTCTTACAATTAGACATTATCTGACAGTGTATATCAGTTTCCTTAAATGGACTCGATTGGAACACTGAAAAAAAGAAAAAAACAACAGTGGATGTAATGAAAACCTATTACATTATATCCACTATCGCTTACAAGTTGCATTATCTCCATGTACCCTACATATATGCGACTGCTTGTGTATACGATGATCAGTTAGTACGACACGCTAATTCTTGCTGCCTCAGTCTTTGATTCGCTTACTCGTCATATTCACCTTGCTATGCGTTAATTTATTATTCGATATACATATAATCATTGCGATATCTTGCGCTGTTACATTAGATTGCCTTAATATCGAAGCTCAAATATGAAGATAATTAAAAGGCAAAAGGCGCGGGACTAACTTTTTATGTTTTTTTTTGTTTATCTCTCTTTTCTTTTCGCAAAATTAAGACTTCCTTAAGGCGCGCAATGAAAGCTCATCCGATTGCAACTGATCACGGTGAGAGCCTTATTTCCCTATACGAGAGTGCGCTGTCCTCCTCGGTGAAAGTTCTGAACGACCAGAATTCATGAGTACCTTGAAGCTGAAAGCTTGTCATTATTTAATGTTTTTTTTTTTTGGATTTTTCTGCTCCTGATTTTTATATTGATTTTGGGATCAATAAGATGTGTGTGCTGATTGAAAAATACGATGAAAAAGAAGGAGGGAGATGGAGCACTGGGCTGAGCTGCTTTGGAACTTGAAAGACGCGTACGTGCGGTACGCAATGTTAAATATAACAGGGTGAGATACGTTGTAAGATGTTGATAAGCTGCACAAGGGCAAGGGCAAGGGCAAGGGCAAGGTTGCATTCGTTTGCCAGAAGAGAACAGTGACGAACAAATGCAGACTCATAATACACACAAGAGTAGGGGATGTGTACGGTGAGGGGGTAGATGAGGTAATTCGATCGAGTCAAGAAAAGACGTCAAAAGTCAGCAAAACAGAAGCGCGAGACGTAATGTCTCAAAACCAGCCCAGATAGACTAGGTACGAAATCATAAACACTATTATTAATTTATGTCGGTGTAACTTAATTTTTAGAATAAAAATCTATACTTCGACCTACGTAATGTGAGATAAATATATGGTTCTGGAGATTAGAATAGCCAAATTGTAGATTGTAGATTGTGGTCAATGTTTTTGAATATAATACCTATTATATCGTATCGTCAATTTAATTAAATGTCGTAGTAGGTCGGTCATGCGCTGCCTGCATTATTATGGGTTTGGCTCGATTATTACCATCGCAGTCTGTCAGAGATACCGAGGCCTCAAAGATGACAGAGTCCGACAGCTTGTTATGCGAAAGCGATAGAGGCACTACCCTACCCCAGACAGCTCCTTCAACATCGTGAAAAGTTTCGAACAATTGACAAATTTTCAAAGTTTCAAGATCAAACCTTAAAAGGTACCGAATGAAAAGAGACGAGCCAGTGGTGACACTCTTTCCGAGGCTTGCACTAACATGTACCATCATAGAGCGTGGCAGCAACCGATCTTTAGTTCATCTAGGTACCTACACATATATCTAGTTGATAAGACACATATAGAACAACTAGTGCGTAAAACACGTTAAACGGTACTTAAAATTAACCAATACCTATGTAAAGGCTACAATAACTCTAGAAAATAGGGAAAATTTGTTTCTCGTAGATTGACATGAAGCGGCGCTGTAGTTTAGTGAGAGTCTCTAGTCGTCGAAATTTAGTAAGAATTTAGTCAAGAGTTAGTTAAAGGATAGTCTTCGCACTTGGTTGTGTGGTTTTTCATTTAGTGTCAAATTATGAAATTTCATGGATGCCCTCTTTATAACTAACCTAGATGCTTTCGTATACATTTTTTATTTTCTTATTATCTTCCCTCACGTACCGTTTGATACCACCGTTCCTCATTCCTGAATCCCTTAAATTTTTGACAGTATTGCCTTGAGCAATACTTTTATCCGAAACTCCGTCACAATCTCAATTCCATTCTCCGTCTCCGTCTCCGTCTCCGTCTCCGTCTTCGTCTCCGTCTCCGTCTCCGTCTCCGGTTTCGCTTGTGACTCAGCCTCTGATTCAGCCTCCACCTTTGCCATTAAATCTGCATCACAATCCGTCTCCTCGCCGTTTCTACATCTCTCTCTCTCTTTCTTTTATTGTCAGCGTATCGTTTGTGCTCACCACGTGTTTTGTATAATTCGGTGGCGGAGGCGGAGGCGGAGGCGAAGGCGAAGGCGAAGGCGAAGGCGAAGGCGAAGGCGAAGACGAAGCTGATGATAATGGTGATGGTGATGGTGATGGTGATGGTGAAGGTGGCCGTCATGGTGATTCTGATGGTAGTGGAGCTCCGCTCTAACTAACCGTTACCTACCCGTAGAATATAATCTTCTGCCCTCTCTGTTCAAACGTTAATCAGTCTTTTTTTCTTTTTATAGATTTTATGTGGTCCTTGGGAGCATTGCCTGATGGTAAGTATCTAAGGACAACGTTAATTATTTAATTAACATTCGATAAGATGAGGGAACGTGATTCCTAATGAAAATGGCGTGACTCTGTACTCTATATACTATTATCTTGATCTTATCTTGAGAACTCGGACTATATTATTAGCAATAAGAAATAATCAATTAATTGGGGATGCAACGCGCGAATGAGAGATTGATCGTTGTTGAAAGAATAGAGCGAAGACTAAGGCGAATCGTTGCGTTTCAATTGTTCACAGGTTTTCCAGCGGCAGCCTATGCGGCATACGCGGCGGGTCGCGGCTATTCAGGATATCCTAGTTTTGGACTGCCCTACCCAACAGGTAATCACTTTAGTCTTAATCATCATAATGTGCATCACGTTGGCCACTTGAATGTCAACTTGAGCCATATGCAAACGGCTCACACGACACATCACCACAATCCATCCACCCCAACTGCACTTTTTTACCATCCCAGTTTGGACCTCTACAACGCCATGCCTCTGTGAACTTGTGCAGAGTCTTTCGAGAATTTTGTCCGTGGTTTCGCGTCAAGCCCATACTTTGCTGTATAGTCGGCTGTACACACAAACTGGATATTTATTTTACTTATTTTCCTTATTTTACTTATTTTCCTTATTTTACTTATTCCTCGTTCCTCACTTCCCTCTTCGTTATTCAATCATTTGTTTTTCAATTGTTCATTCCCTGCCAGTTTTCCACTACAAATTTCTAAGTACCCACTCGCGGAGTCGGTCTCTACCCCTCTATCTCTCTCTGTCCCCTCCCCCTCC